CCTACCCTTTCTTTCATGACACTGTTATGGTTATTCCCATCCAATTTATACTTATAATTCGAATTATGATAAGTCACATGGATTATCTTGCATTTATTATAATTAAAACCCATTTGCCATTTATTTGCTCAACTCACTAAATAATCTAAATCCTTTTATAAATCATCAGCATCCTCTTCACAGCTAGCAACACCCAAGACTTTAATATCATCTGCAAATTTAAATAATTTATTGACTATTCCTTCATCTATGTAATTGATGGAAAAAAAAAAAGATCCTAAGACTGAGCCCCGAGATACCCCATGTGACATTAATACAGTTGCACCAAATTTACACCCTTACCCTCATCTACATAAGCAGTAACCTTTGTAAAGAATGTCAAAACATTTATAAGGCAAGATTTTTCCTCAGTGAAACCATGTTGACTATCCAAGAAAATTCTAAACTTTGTTAAATAACTTTACAAAGCATCTTTCAACAGACTTTCCCAAACTTTTCCCACAACTGATGCAAGACTAATGGGTCTATAATTACTGGGACAATTTTTATCACCTCCTTGAAAAGAGGAGTTACATTAGCTAACTTCCAATCCTCTGGTACCTGCCCACTATTCAAGAACTGACAGAAAATAGTAGCAAATGGCTCACATATCCAATGTTTAATTTCCTTGATTTTTTTTTATTGTTTTAAGCTGTAATCTGTCTGTTCACTGGTAGACTGGTAGTTTCGATTTTGTATTTTCTTTAATCTTCAACATTATCAAATTCTGAATAAAGTTTAATTTTGATTTTTTTGGCATAATTTGACTTATTTTAAGATTTCAACTTAACTCACTTAGTATTTTAACGTTGGGTTATATTCGGTTATGACACGTTTTTAATTATGTTTGTCATAAGATATACGTATTAGGCATATTATATTTCTAACACTGCATTCTTTATATTGGACTCAACACAGCACAGGTCGGTACACTATTTACATAAAACCATATGTTACACACCATACCAATTATTATGTTTTGTTTTTAATTTTGATATTTGTTTAACTACATTCTCGTTAATTTCCTGTTATGTTCAGTATAGTTTTCCTTTTCATATCATGTTTTATTTTATTGTTTTATTAAGATGTGTATTCTTACGTCATAGTTTCATTCCCTTTCATTTCTTGTTCTGTTTTATATTTTGAATTGTATTCAGATGAAAATATGTATCTTTGATGAAATACAAATAATGTAAACAATATTTTTAATGAACTTGTTTTTATTCAAAACTCTAATGATCAAACTTAACACTGTTATGTGTGAAAGATGTTGAATGTCGGAAAAACCTGCAAAGAAATTATAAAAAATCGAAATCTTCTGATTGTATTAAGTATTCAGCCCCCTAAGTCACTACTTGGTGGAAGCACCTGTGGCAGACATTACTGCTGTGAGTATTTTTGGATAGATCTCTACCAGCTTTGTACAATGGGATGGTGTAATTTTTGACCATCCTTTTTGGCAAAATTGCTTCAATTCTGACAAGTTCATTGGAGATCGTTGACAGACTGCAATCTTCAAGTTTCATCATAAATTTACTACTGGATTCAAGTCAGGACTTTGACTGGGCCACTCTAGGACATTCACGTTCTTCTTTTGAAACCACTCCAGTGTGGCTTTGGCCTTGTGCTTCGGGT